GTTTAATCATTGGGGAATGTCATGATGCAGAAGGACACTTTGGTTTCAAGAAGACGTACGACGATGTCCGAGAAAGATTTGAATGGAAAGGAATGAAGGAAGATGTATTAACCTATATGCGGACTTGTCTTGTCTGTCAGAGGAACAAACCGTCACATGAGAATCCGATGGGACCACTGAGACCACTGCCTATTCCAAGTGAGTCAGGTGAGTCTATCTCTATCGGCTTCATGAGCCTCACTAAGAGTAGAAACGGTAACAGTCAAATAATGGTCATCGTCGATAGATTCTCTAAGTATGCTATGTTCATTCCTTTGCCTGCTGAAGCTAAAACCGAACTAGTGATTTAAAAATTTCAGATGCGATGGGTTTCTGAGTATGAATTTCCGAAAACCATTGTCTCTAACAGAGATGTTCGGTTCAAAAATTTCAAATGCTATGTACTTTGAAGTGGATCTAGACTCAGCGTGGACTCTCTGACAAGTTGGTAAGGTGGTCCGCATTCCTTAATACATTTGACTTTAAGGTCAAAACCATCAAAGGTCAGTCTAACGTGGTTGCGGATGCTTTGTCCAGGCGTGCAAATTTCTTTGGAACGATTGTCTCTTATCTCGATATTGGGAATGAATTAAAGGAACAAATAAGAAAGGGTTATGAGAATGATTCCATCTGTAGTTCTATTATCGAGACTCTGAGAAAGAACCCTGAACTATTCCCAGAGTATCGAATGACTGATGACTTACTCTTCTTTATAGATAAAACCGAAGAAAGACTGTGTATTCCTCACCAAGAACCAATTAAAAGTTTAATCATTGGAGAATGCCATGATGCAGAAGGACACTTTGGTTTCAAGAAGACGTACGCCGATGTCCGAGAAAGATTTGAATGGAAAGGAATGAAGGAAGATGTATTAACCTATGTGCGGACTTGTGTTGTCTGTCAGAGGAACAAACCCTCACATGAGAATTCGATGGGACTACTGAGACCACTGCCTATTCTAAGTGAGCCAGGTGAGTTTATCTCTATCGACTTCATGAGCCTCACTAAGAGTAGAAACGGTAACAGTCAAGTAATGGTCATCGTCGATAGATTCTCTAAGTATGCTATGTTCATTCCTTTGCCTTCTTAAGCTAGAACCGAACTAGTGATTCAAAAATTTCAGATGCGATGGGTTTCTGAGTATGGATTTCCGAAAACCATTGTCTCTGACAGAGATGTTCGGTTCACTAGTCTATAATGGCAGAAGTTGATGAAAGTCTATGGCACCAGGTTGACCTTATCGTCTGGTAAACATCCTGAAATTAATGGTCAAATTGAGCAAATGAATCGTCTATGCCAACAACTTTTGCGAATGTATATCCGATCTGATCAGATTGATTGGGATGAGAACTTACCCAAAATTACTAGTGCTTATAACAACAACGTGCATACTGTCACAGGTAGAACACCGAATGCACTGCATAAGGGTTGGAAGCCTCGGCGTCCCATTGACGCATTGACCAGAGACCAGATTCAGAGGCTACCCCCGAGTACACGTGAGTTTGCAGTTTTATATGAAAAAGACATTAAGAAGATAAAGGAAAACATACAAAAGGCCCAATTACAAATGATTGAACAGGCTAATAAGCACCGCCGACCTTCACAGTTTCAAGAAGGAGATTTTGTTTGGGTTAAGTCTAAAGCGCTTTCCTTAGAAGAGAATGTATCTCAGAAACTGCTACCTTTCTACTTTGGACCCTAGGAAGTTCTCAAGGTGATTGGAGATGCAAACGGACCATCTTATCGCATTGATATACCTCCACACCTAAGGACGTACCCTGTCTTTCACGCGTCTAAACTACTGCCCTGTGTAGAAAGTGACAACTTTCCTAATAGGCCATCAATGTTCCCACCTTCTCTGAATGGAGGCTAAGAAGTTGAGAAAATATTGGAACATGGCTACTTTTCTACATGTGGCAAAGGACGACCGCAGGAGCAGTACAAGGTACAGTTCAAGTCTCAACCTCCATCGGAAGCCAGATGGTTTAGTCGAAAAGAACTCTTACCTACTGCTCCTGATATTGTTAATGCATATGAGCGTGGGTTAACTGGGAATTAATGTATTTTCTGCGATGGAACTCGAAAACTGGGCCGACAGGAATGCAATAACCCATGCCATATGTTGTCTAAGGGCCGAACGCGGCAATCCTCAGTCCAGGCCACATAAGGGGGCAAAGGCCCTAAGTCTGCTACAGGGCCGGGACGCCAGGCAGTTGACCGTAGTCAACTGCCGGATCTCCAAAGGTCAAAATCAATGTGTACCCAGACCAGGCCGCCGGTCAAGCATACACACTTGTTTATATGCAGGTACCCGGACAACATCCAAGCCAGGTGGAAAACTGCAACTGTACACGATCCAGACCTTTGATGGAGGGTCAATCTGGACGACTGTGACTCGTGGACTGGAGGCCAGACCTCCGAGTCAAACACTACATAAGTTGGGGTCTACAGGGAATTGACATTCAGTCTTGCTATGCAGATTCAACGCTGGTTTGACTTTGACTTGACGTTGACATTATGCTAGTGAGACGCTGGTTGGACGCTGGCTGTGCATCAGAGTTGTGGACGACAACACGAGGGAGACGCGACAATTGCATTGTGCGCCAGGCATGCTGACGTGGCGCTGCCTCTGGTTTATGTGGCGCTGCCTATGGTCTACATGGCATGCTAATGTGGCGCTGCCTCAAGTATAAGTGGATCTGCCCGTGGTCTACACGGCATGCTGATGTGACGCTGCCTCTGATTTATGTGGCGTTGCCTATGGTCTACGTGGCATGCTGATGTGGCGTTGCCTCTGGTATATGTGGCGCTGCCCATTGTCTACGTGGTATGATGATGTGGCGTTGCTCCTGTCTACGTGACACTGCTCTTGGTCTTCATTGATGATGTGGCATATGCCACCTGTTTCGTCTGCTGATGTGGCATTGTCCACACTACGTACATGAGGTGATTGGTTGCGAGGGAGAGTAAGATCAAGACTGTGGAAAGATTGTGATACGTACCTGGTGGTCTTTATGATGACATTGCTCCAGCGTTGATGAGGGAATAATCAGAAGTGTCAGGTGGCAAATTGAAATTACTTCAGATATTCGTTCAGACTATTGATTACTAAAGTAGAGTTGGAGGAGGGAGCCCAAAGCAGGAGTGGGCATTGTATTTACTTCCTCTCCTTTGTCTATCCTCCCTCCTCTATTCTTCGTCTGTGAATGATTATCTCGTCATAGTCTGTCTGGATACTATCTTGATTATTGGTTTT